ATGAGTATGTGGGACACTTTACAACTCTTGAATTGTATATTGAAGGTCAGTTTTAAACTATAAGTGTAGTGCACAGCTGATTTAGTTTTCAATTGTTTTGTATAGATTCTAAAATAAAGAAACGTTTATTACTTGTGTAAAGTGAATATTAATTAGAGTTTATTACTATAAAATTATTATAGTAACTCATGTTTTTCGTTACAAACACTGAATTGTTATCAAAACTTTAATCACTTGGTCCTTGGACTAGCTAGCCAGTTATTGTAAATTAGACTTTGTCATTTTAATCCTGTGGATTTTCTTCCAAGCTTGTCAGTAGCCTTGAATATCAAACACTTCAGACTGCCACGCTTTATTTCTTCGAACTGGTGTGTTTTCGTCAAACTCTGCTCTACTTCTACATAGCCTATTTACTTTACCTATTGGCATGAAACACTCTGTTAACGTTCGAGCTACCTACAGAAATTGGGCTCAGTAGCATCGGTAATGTCATTTAGGGGCTGTCAAACTCAAGTAACTTGTATTTCATGCTTCATAATTGTTTGTTTTAAATTTCGCGCAAAGCTACACAAGGGCTATCTGCCCTAGCCGTCCTTAATTTAGCAGTGTAAGACCAGAGGGAAGGCAGCTAGTCATAACCACCCACCACCAACTCTTGGGCTACTCTTTTACCAACGAATAGTGGGACATGCTTCATAAATTAGAAATTTTCAAAAATTAAAATGGATTAACACTTTTGAACTAAAAATTTATATACGAAAATTCAATTTCATGCTCTTACTACTGTACTCCAATAGATAATTAGAAAAAGCTCAATTCCCTCACAAATTGTAGAACTGATTTTCCCCATGAATATTGGTGAAAAACTAGCGATTCCAAGGTGGTACGATCTGCAGAGTCCTAACCACTCAGCATGATTACTTCTTTTCAGTCATTGTTTGCATGAACTAATGACTGTCAAGCTTGATGATCAAGCAATAACCGTACAATGTATTGTATACACTGTGCCTCCAACACTACTCAATGGCTCAGAGAGCAAGATCACCCTTTCAGTCAGCAATCTCTCAACTACCTGATTGTCTTAATTATTAATAAGGTATAAGTCTTGCAGTATAGTGCATACTGTAAGGAATTTGTTATTATAAATTTATTTTAGTATCAACGTT